TACAAAGAAAACTACAAAACACTACTGCAAGAAACCAAAAGAGATCTACGTCAATGGAAAAACATACCATGCTCACGGATAGGCAGACTCAACACTGCGAAAATGACAATTCTACCCAAAGTAATTTACAAATACAATGTAATCCCTATTCAAATACCAACAACATTCTTTAAAGAGATGGAAAAACTAATCATTAACTTTACTTGGAAAGGGAAGAAGCCCCAGATAAGTAAACCACTATTGAAGAATAAAGTAGGAGGACTTGCACTACCTGACCTCAGAACCTACTCTACAGCTACGGTAGTCAAAACAGCCTGGACTGGTACAACGACAGATACATTACCAATGGAACAAAATTGAGAAACCAGATGTAAATCTATCCACGTATGGTTACCTGATCTTCGACAAGGGCCCAAAGTCCATCAAATGGGGAAAAGACAGTCTTTTTAACAAATGGTGCTGGCGAAACTGGATATCCATCTGCAAAAAAATGAAACAGGACCCATACCTCATACCGTATACAAAAACTAATTTAAAATGGATCAAAGACCTAAATATAAAGCCAAAAACTATAAAGCTCATAGAAGAAAAAATAGAATCAACGCTAGAGGCCCTAATACACGGCCTTAACAGGATACAAACCATAAAACACACAGACTCCAGAAGATAAGCTAGATAACTGGGATCTTCTAAAAAATCAAACACTTATGCTTATCAGAAGACTTCACCAAAAGAGTAAAAAGAGAACCTACAGACTGGGAAAAAATTTTTGGACATTACAAGTCAGACAAAGGTCTAATATCTAAAATCTACAGGAAAATCCAACACTTCTCCAACAAAAAGACAAATAATCCACCCAAAAAATGGGCAATGGAAATGAACAGACACTTCACTAAAGAAGCCAACAGACACATGAGGAAATGCTCGCGATCACTAGCCATTAGAGAAATACAAATTAATACCACGATGAGATACCATCTCACCCCGGCATTACTGGCACAAATAAAAAAAACTGGAAATAATAAATGTTGGAGAGGCTGCAGGGAGACCGGAACTCTTATGCTGCTGGTGGGAATGCAAAATGATACAACCATTCTGGAAAATGATATAGCGCTTCCTTAGAAAGCTAGAAATAGAAATACTATATGATC